ATAGGTGTATGAGTGAGGATGGATTGAACTCAGTATTCTCCGGGCGGAGAAAGATTAAGGTTCAGACTTCGGCCCGGAGACTGTAGTTTGACCGAGCGGAGAAAATAACAGAAAAAAAATAATAGTTTCTAAATAGTTTCTATGAATAATAAAGTTCATGATATGAGCCAGTTTTTCTAGTTTTTGGTTAGTTCAGTTTATTTTCTAGATGTAGTTAGTTCAGTTAATTTTCTAGTTGTAGGTTAGTTCATTTTATTTTCTAGTTGTAGGTTAGTTCAGTTTATTTTCTAGTTGTAGGTTAGTTCAGTTTATTTTCTAGTTGTAGGTTAGTTCAGTTTATTTTCTAGTTGTAGGTTAGTTCAGTTTATTTTCTAGTTGTAGGTTGGTTCAGTTTATTTTCTAGTTGTATGGTTAGTTCAGTTTATTTTCTAGTTGTAGTTGGTTCAGTTTATTTTCTAGTTGTAGGTTAGTTCAGTTTATTTTTTAGTTGTAGGTTAGTTCAGTTTATTTTCTAGTTGTAGATTAGTTCAGTTTATTTTCTAGTTGTAGTTAGTTCAGTCTGTAGTTTGACCGAGCGGAGAAAATAACAGAAAAAAATAATAGTTTCTATGAATAATAAAGTGAACGAAAAGTCAAAAATTTTAACGAATTTAGCGAAAATTTCGAACGAATTTCGCGGAAATAATTAATCAAAAACGTTCGCGAAAATGGAAGACAAATTTTGTTTTCGTTTAAATTTTCCTTGGCTGAACAAAATTTTCGCGAAACAGAGAACGAAATTTGAAAACCCTAGAAAAAACTCAAATATTTTCAACAACTATATGCTCTCTGAGTAAAACTGGTTCAGACCATAGATAAATAAATATCTATGGTTCATGACTCAGATATTTTTTCATAAGATTTCAATATTCCCTAAAAAGTTTCATTAATTATCGAAAAAAGTATGTTTATAAAAATAATTTATATTTTTTAAATTTTCTTTCATCGTTGACTTCCAGGCTTCTTTTAAGTTTTCCACAATAAATACATAACCTAGAAAACAAAATAGGAGAATATTTCTTTCCTGTTTTTATACTTACTAACGATGTCAGATAACAAGATTTAATTCACATCTCTCTTCTACACTGCTAGAAAGAAAATAAAATCCTGTTTATTTTACATGACGAAAATTGCTTTATAAAATTCAAAGCACAAGCATGATCGCGTGGTCACCCCGTTCCACTGTTGACCGGCGTTTTCCGCGCATTTTGGACTGTTAATATTTTAAATTAAAAACGATATTTGTCGCGTGGAAAACATTTTTACAGTGTAGCCCAGTAATCTTCCCTTATTTCAGGTAGCACACTTTTATTGATATAGACATGAACTAGAATCCTTGTATTAAGAGTTTTTATATGTATCCTGACTTCTGATTGGTTAAGCGGAAATGTATCCTAACTTCTNTAATACTAAGGGACTGTACTATATATATGTACTAGATATAATACTAAGGGACTGTAGTTTATATATGTACTAGATGTAATACTAAGGAACTGTACTTGATATATGTACTAGATATAATACTAAGGTACTGTACTAGATATATGTACTTGATATAATACTAAGGGACTGTACTAGATATATGTACTATATATATATGTACTAGATGTAATACTAAGGGACTGTACTTGATATATGTACTAGACATAATACTAAGGGACTGTACTAGATTTATGTACTAGATATAATACTAAGGGACTGTACTTGATATATGTACTAGATATAATAGTAACGGACTGTACTAGATATATGTACTAGATATAATACTAACGGACTGTACTTGATATATGTACTAGATATAATAGTAACGGACTGTACTAGATATATGTACTAGATATAATACTAAGGGACTGTACAATATATTTGCACTAGATATAATTCTAAGGGACTGTACTAGATATATGTACTAGATTCATTGAAAATTGGTTTTAGATTTTATAAAAAAAAACTTTCATATGCTTACACTTGCTACAAACAATAATTTTCTAATCCTTTTGCAACTTGATGGTGTAAACCTTTCATATTTTAAGGAATTTAGATTTAAGTTTACGAATTTAAAAATGCTTAATATTTTTACGTAATCATGTTTATCATGAGTTTACAGATTTGATATCTACAGTAAAGTATACATTAAATCCAAACAGATAAAGTAATGTGTAAAGATGTAACCTTTTTAACTTGTTTAAAGTTTCTGCATTCCGGTGCAAATTTTAGCCACGCTTACTGAGATCCAGACAGCTTTATAAATTATGCATCAATTTATAATACTGGGTAGACTTTGCAGTGTTGCAACGCCTCGGTCTTTAGGTTTATGTAATATACTAACTTGGGCATCCAGCGCTGCCCATGTTACTCATAGTTACTCCCGCCGTTTACCCGCATTTGAACGATTTTAACGGGAAACTAAATTTTCGCTTTTAAAGTCGACCCACTCAATCTTAAAACCAAGCTAGGAACATTCCTGGGGGTTTTTGAGTTCCCCAATTAAAATTTGAGACAAATCGGTTAAGGGTTCCTGAGTTTTAATAATTTCTCAAACGTCACCATTGACTTCTACATATACTAATATTATTTTTTTTAATGTAAAAATCTTAATTTTTATGCTCTAGGGCGAAAACAAAAAGATCTCAAAATAATTTAATATGATGGGTTTTAGTTCCAGGGAAGAAGGGGATTAAATTCTATGGGGAGGGAAGGATTAAATTAAATGCATCTTACTTTTCGCATAAAATATCTTGCTTTGTTGTTCTTTTTGATATACAGGGTGTCCCGCATCATATTAGATCGATTAAAGCTTAGCTCTAAATTGAGATTTAAGGAGCTAATCAGACAATTTAAAAAGAATGAATCATTAAAAAATGTACGTGTCTAATATAAAAATGATCCCGAAGAAAATATCAGTTTTTTCGAGTAATAAATGTGCGTAATCTGGGTTTAAAGCTTGGAGATAATCCAGTATGATATGCTCTGATAGTCCTTACTGTATTTTTTTAGATGCGCCTTTATATTTTATTTCCCCCGGTCCAAGAATTAAATGTAACAATCTTTTATCGTTAATTTGTATGCAGTTGTACTTACATTCATATCTCTTATATATATTCATAATATCAATTTTATATAGAGGTTTAGGTTAAGCTACTCTAGCAATGTAATCTGGAAAATAAGAGATTTAGGGGAACAAAATAATATTTTCATTTTGATTTTGAATCGATTCATTCTGTTTCTGTTTTACTTACGGATGGCAGCGCTAATTCAATAAACGAACGTCAGTTTTTTCTGTTACCGGAAAAATTTGTTATTGAACGAAAAAACTGCCAACAAAAAAATCTTAAATAAAATCTAAAAGAAAGATCAGTTTTTTAAAATAATGGCACATTTAGTTAATTTGTATAAGCTTTAAAAATGTCATCATATCATAGTATGAAATATCAAAATTCTACTACATCGGGTTGCAAAATGTTAGGATAAAAAATACGTTCTGTTGAAGATTGAAGTTTTCGCTTAACAAACTGATAAATCAGCTTTTGCTCCGGCCACAGCTAGTCATCTTGAAAAGCATAGAATAATACCAATATGACTAGCCGCTGCAACAAGGTTGACGCGGTCAGACTTTTGGTTGAATTTACTTTTAGTAAAGGGTTAGAGGTGCGTGTAGATTAATTAGATGCGCTGATTATATATATTACTAGCCCGTGGAATTTTTTCAAAATTAATTTTTTTAAATCGATTTTTTGAAAAAATAAATCAATCTTTGAAAAGAAAAATAGATTGCTTTAGCCTAAAATACCCCAGGGTACCAATGAGTTCCCTCAAAAAATGTCAGCCAATTTGGTCCTGCCGTTTGGCCAGCTATAGCTAACATATAATATACAATTTTTTACATGGATCGTATATGTTAGACATGGATATAATTGACCATGTGGCCGCAGCGCTCGGCCCAGTAAATGTCTTAACTAACCTAACCCGTGGCCGCAGCGCTCGGACTAGAAAATTGTCTTAACCTAACCTAACCCTATTGATAAATAATAATTTAGTCCAAAAATCGTTCTCTAGGACGAACCTTATTAATATATTTCTGTACAAAAACAAAAATATATTCATTCATTCAAACAGGAATTTGGGAAAAGGAATGCTTTTGTTTGATATAAAAGCATATAATGTGCCAAAAAATCTCTATATAAAAAGTAATAATTTATGTTTGGGTGTCTGTCTGTTTGTTTGGATGTCTGATCAAAACTTATGAACCCTTGGACCGATTTGGTTTAAACATCCTGAGTTAAGTAGTTTGACCTTGACATGCAAAACTTTAGGCGAAGCTGGGTTCCCAAGCTAATACCATATATTCGCACTGCAATACTGGAGCAAAAAAGTATTAATCTTTAAATATTTTCAAGTTTTTAAATGTTTTAATGTTTCTTTTATTTTCCAGCAGTTGCACTTCCTTATTGATAATTTATTTTGAAATGATTTGCAGGAAAAAAAAGTTCTGAAATTTTTCTAAAGGGATAATTAATTTTGTAACATGTCACGTGATTTTTATACTGCTTGTGCTCTGAATACTGTTAAAGCTTATATCTAAATAACTGCACGTTGTAATAGAAATACGAAGCACTGCAGCTGTACTTTTTCTTTTTCCTTTTTTTGCTTAGAATTGGGGGAAATTTTAACACAACTTTGTTGTATTTTTTTTTGCTTATTCTATAAAGAGATAATTACTTTAGTCCGGCAGTTTTGAGACAGACAAAGGAATTGAGTTCTTGACACAAACTTCGTTTTTCTAATCCATATCTTTGCAACCCAATGTTTTGTAAACCTTAGATATTAAAACTTTGAATTCTGTTAGCTCTAATGGTCTAAGTTTGAAAAGATGCACACCATCAGGTTGAAAACATTTAGGAATTGATTAGAAAATTATAAGTTGAGGTTGAGTTTCCAGACAGATAAATTAGGATTTGTATTTCAGGTAAAATGTTGCAGAGTCAGAGCACAGTTATTATTCCTAGGAGAATATATACATCAACTTTACACAGTTAACATCGATATACTGTACAAGTAAGATAAATTTCAGCCCTATACCCTCCCCCTCCCCATTCCACTTCCACTTCCCCACATGATAAACAAATTGAATCTTTCAGAACTGTAATCAATACAATTCTTTTTTTTCTTTGAATGAGATAGATCACATTTTCGAGAATTTCAAACCTTAATTTTTGTTCCATATACAGCTAGATACAGTGAGATGGTTTATATGTCGGATTTAAGCTTGAAAAATCAACAATTTCTCTCTTGAATTATATATATTGAATATTATTGGGCAATGCAATTTTGTTTCTATTTCGTGAACAGTCCTTGTTAGCAGAGGTAATCAATAATAACATATTTGTTCAGTGGTAGTTGCTAAGATGATGTTAAAGTTAGTTCCCTAGACTAAACTAATTATACCGTACATCAACTCCATTAACAGGATGGAAAATACAACAGGTCAGAAACCATGGAACAGTAAATAATGTGAGATCGGAACTTTAGTGTGGGTATTGTTAATTGTAAACGCTGGTTCTCGATATTCAATGTGGACACTTTTGAATTTGAAGATCAATACTTGATCCCTCAATTAAAGTTATTCCTGCAGGAAAATGACCTTCACATGACCACATGGAAGGTTTAGTGATGATTAAATTTTCAAAAATTAGCCTCCAGCAAAATTCGATTTATATTAAGATTAAAAAATCCACAACATTTTTTTTTTAATAAAATCCTCCAGCTTTTTATTAATTGTTTTACAATTTGTAGACAAAGAGAAAATTTTCACAGTTGAAATAAATGATGGGCGCGTAAAAGTCAAGTTTTATAAATTTTAGTAAAACAATGTGCATGATTTTATATATATAATATTTAAGCTTATCCTGGGAACTTCAGCTTGGAGGAGGACTGCGACGAAGATTACAATATCAGGAAAATAAAATCAGATTTTTAAATTTCTTTTTTATTTCTTTTCAACGAAAAATTTGATCAAAAGGAAATGATTATATTTTTTCAAGGAAAAAGTCTTGTTTATTTTGATTTAAATTTAAAGTTTAATTAAAACTGGATGAAAGATACTCTTCTGCAGTACATTGTACCAGACTTTACATTTTGCAGTGTACTGTATTTGCTTTAAAGCCATATCAAATATGTAATTAATGCCGCAGGTTTCTAGATCCCACTATATGGCAATGTTTTGTAGCACGCGTGACATATTCTATAGCTATGCAGAAGGAGGGGAGGAAGGCCAACCACATCAATCTCTAGTCCGAACCACATTCTCCTCATTTTCTCGTCCGAACCACCTCGAAATCCTCGTCCTTTCAATATTATTTTTTTTAAGTGTCCGATCCTTGAAAATAAATACATTTTTTTAAACTATTCCTAAAAAAATGTCTGGATAAAATGTACAAATCTGATTATCTTGCTGAGTCTAGTTCCTGTCTGGAAGAGTGTACTGGGAACACTAGTTTCTGTCTGGAAGAGTGTTCCAGTAACTGTAGTTCCTCTTGTATTTCAAAACATCAGTTCCAGTTCCAGCAAACTAAGGAACAAAATAAACCAGAAGAATACAACAAGCTTAAAAAGTGATTGATTTAACGCCTCAAACTCTAATTTTCTAATCCTGATTTCTTTGCAACCTGTGTCCGAATTTAATGAATTAAAGCCACGTCACAACACCGGTTTTAATTGACCACCGGCTTAAATCTTGAAAAATTTAATTCAAATTTAAGTGGAACCAACCATACTTGAGCCGCGGCTTAAATTTAAACCGCGGCTCAAATAATTTAAATTCGGTCTCTGAGCTAGACTCTTGTGTTAGGAACCCTTAATCCCGTGCGCTTAATCTTGATATCCATCTTGATTAATCTTGATATCCGTCTTGATTAATCTTGATATCCATCTTAAACACTTTTGATTTTATTTTAGTTTCTGACCAATGAGAGTTCTCTCATTAATTTCGTGCAAAATTTCCCGGTCTTTGATTGGTACTTAGGTTTCTGTCGACACTCGATCTGATTGGCGGAGTTTTAGACACTCTCCTGGATATCAAATAAAGATTAATTTAAAATCTTCAGATTTACAAAAGTAAGTGATCAAGCCTTGATACTAGAGTTTCCAGCTGTGATAAATGAAACTGTCGAAGTTTGAAATATCTAAGTTTTACACAATCAAGTTACCATGATATAGGGATTAGAAAATTAGAGTAAGAGTAAATAGAATAGTTTATTTAATCGGATATTAAGATATACGTGATGTCACTGATAACAGTGGTGACAATAGTTAGTAATCTACTAATAGTAATCGCTGTTCTATCAACTAAAAGAAAGGTAAATATTATTGCTGTAACTTGAAATCTTAAAATTTGAGTTTTGGAAAAAATTTAGTTTTAAAAACTATACTTTGAAAAAACTCAAGTCTAAATCATTGGATTATCTTTGCAACCTCTTAGTGCAAATGTTTGTGGCGAGCGCTCAGTTCCTTTATATTGGCAGCTTATCTGCTTATCTGCTTATCTGTTTGGTTTTGTAAACAACTGTTGATCATTGAAATTTGAACTATGGATAGCACAAACAAATAGGTTCAATTCAAACTTATGAACAGAGGTGTACACAGGGGGGATGTATGGGGACTCACCACCCCCCATTATATCAGTAAAATCTATGGTTACCAGGAGGTCCCAACGAGGCTATGCTCCCCCCCTACCTTGGAAAGAAAGAAAAAATGTAAATCCCCTGGACAGTGGACACATTCCTGCGTACGCCCCTGATCATTAACACATATCATAAGTAATACGTTTTTAAAGCTTGCACGCTGATTGATTTTAAAGTTTAATGCAAATTTTAAGATTTAATTAAATTTAATTTGCACTTCAATATTTTGCATTGTTTAAAGTTTATGACTGCAAAGAGAAAGTTTGTAAAACTGTTTGAGAGTGTTTTTAACAAGATGCACAACAACAACATTTTCTTTTAGATAAAGTATATTAAACTTACACTATGCAGTAATCTTCCTCTTCTTGTTTTTTTAGGTTGAAAAATATTTTTCAATTAAATGTTTTCTAGTTTTATTCAAGTTTTTAAGGGATTGTTAATAAAATTTCCAGTGACCTTCTATGCACAGATCATGGAGAGCGGAGAACTCCGTGTATTTATCTCCAAAATGATGTTTAAAAATTGCCAATGAAGCTAAAGTTAAGACTGTTGTACAGTATAAACTCAACTCAGCTGACATATTTTGTCGAAAATCCCGAATATTCTGTGTCCATTACTGTTTTCAAAACTTCAAATGAAAATAATTACTTTCCGGGACATCTGGAAAGTAAATATTAATCTTTATTGAATATAAAGCAACTCCTTCATCCTTGATTACTCAATAGTTTAAAGGGGTATACTATTGTTGGGAAATGGAAGGGAGGGTCACTTGAAATTACGGTTACAGTCCCTTTCAGATGACATATTGGTATTCATTTGGATTATTTAGATATTTCTAATATTTCAGATATCTCGAATATTTCAGAAATATCTAATACTTTAGATATCTCGAATATTTTAAATATCTCCAATATTTCAGATATCTCTTTCATTTCAGATATCTCTGATTTTTCAGAGATATCTAATACTTTAGATATCTCGAATAATTTAGATATCTCCAAGATTTCAGATATCTCTAATATTTTAGATATCTGTGATATCTCAGATATCTCCAATATTTCAGATATCTCTAAAATTTTAGATATCTCGAATATTTTAGATATTTTAGATATTTCAGATATCTCCAATATTTCAGATATATCCAATATTTCAGATATCTCTAAAATTTTAGATATCTCGAGTATTTTAGAAATTTTAGATATCTCTAATATTTCAGATATCTCCAATATTTCAGATATCTTTAATATTTCAGATATCTCTAATATTTCAGATATCTCCAATATTTCAGATATCTCTAATATTTCAGATATCTCCAATATTTCAGATATCTTTAATATTTTAGATATCTCTAATATTTCAAATATCTCTAATATTTCAAATATCTCTAATATTTCAGATATCTCGAATGAACTACTTTATCCTTCATCTATCCCTGGCTGATATCTCAACAGCACTGTTTACACTTTGTCCAGGTGTTTATCATCCAGTTTTTTCCAGCCTTATTTATTCTAAGTAAAATACAGATACAGCTATGGATGACAGCTATGACAGCTCTGAATTCCAGCGTTGACAGCTATGAATGGTAACTGTGACTGCTTTGAATGGTAGCTATGGCAGCTATGAAAGCTGTGACAGCTATGAATGACATCTATGAATAACAGCTATGAATGACAGTTATGAATGACAGCTATGAATGACATCTGTGACAGCCATCCATCAATTTATAGTTAAGGTTTACTTAAACGTGTCGCAACCCATCAGCCCTATGCTTACATTTCTAGGTCGCTTATACTTTTTATATTTCAAACATGTAGGCTTCTTTCTATACCTTTCTTTTTAAAAGGAGTAATTGGTAAAACGCCAAATCAGCTTTTTATTCTATTTGATATTATTTAAAAGTTGCAAAAAGGTTTTTTTTCTAATCCTTTTTAACTTATGCAGTTTTATGAAAAAGGAAGTTTTTAAGGATTACTCTCATCAAAGAAAAAGTATCTTTATCTCCGAGAAAATAACAAGAAAAAATCAAGGAGTAGACAATTTGACAAATATACTAGACTTCGGATTTATATTCTATCGAGTTTTTATTCCCAAAGACGTGTAATGCTATACTGTTGCTATATCAAAGCTTTAGTTTCTAATTCGGGGGATTGGAACTAAGACAAAGTTTATAAGTATTATATGGTTAACCTATCTATATTTGGTTGGGCTGTTTATTGATTAGTTAGTTTGTATTTCATAAAATAAACGTTAAAAAGGCAGAACGGACTTCAAAAATGTTGTGGACGGTCTGAATAAAAAAATAGCTATACAAAGGAATTGAGTCTTTACAACAAACTCTAATACCTAAATCTTTCCAACACATGATGGTGTAAACCTTAATATTTTAAACTTTGTTTATTTGATCTAACAAAATTAATAGTTTGAAATATCTAAGGTCTACGACATTGGACTTTAGAGATAAAGGGATTAGAGAATCAGAGTTTGTGGCAACGCGACTGCGGAATTTCTTTGTTGAAAATATTTCTAAATCCACCAAAGAAAAATAAAAAATCTGAAAATTTTTAAATTGCATTTGTTAAATAAGTACGTTGAGAAGGTGTTTGTTCAAAGGGTTGAAGTTACAAAACCTAATAATCTAAATAAAAAAAGTGTGATTTGCGGCGCCTGGTCAAAATTGTACTTTTTTGTGCTTCTCTCCTGTAAGGGGTATTTTCAATATTTTTTGAAAATTTACATTTTTTTGGTACTTCAATGGCCCAATAAAAACAATAAACGTCAAAACAGCGAAACTGATCAGACCCGAATTATTTGCGGGACCTCGCGTGACCCATGGCCATGGAAAGTTTTATGGATGATAAATTTTCAAAAATTTGCCCTTAACGATTTTTTTTATAAAATCCGTGATTTTTTTTGTTCACAATTGAAGTAGAAGATTGGCGTGAGGCGCCCTAAACGCCAAGTATAATATACATAAAAGAATAATCAAATATGCATATTAAGATTAATGGATTAGATAGAGAAAGGTGTTATAAAAAGTGAACGTATTAAAAATAAAAGTTATAAAATCCATTTACAAAATACTTTAAACTTTTATTAATAAGAGTTCTGAATACATTCATGAATCATGATAGTTTTATAATAATGAGAATTCTTACAGAACCATTTTTTTACATTCCAACCCACATTTCTTATTTTATTAGACACTAGAAACTTGGAAACCCAGCTTTAACTGGAAACTGAACTAAGAATCTTTAAACCCAGCTAAGAAAAATCCCGTGGTAATACGGAGTTCCCCAATCAAAATTTGAAACTATCAGTCAAGGGGTACATGAGTTATGATTGGACATACATACACCCTAACAGAGATTACTACTAAAAGAGAATACATAAATAAACATCCAGTGAATAAAAAGGGATTGTACTGAAAACTATACAGAAGGAGAAAGTGAAATGTATGCAAGGTTACTGGTAAGATTTTGTGACCTTGTAGCTCCTCAAGTTTGAGAAAAGCCGGAATACTTAGTTTAGCATCGAAAAAAACTAAGTTTATTAGGAACTGTATCATTTGATGTATAAAATAGTAGATTATAAAGGAGTTATTCTTTTTTAAATCTAACATTCTAGAATTTTATTTTCAAAATTTTCTCGAAACTCGGTTTCCAAAATCCATATTCATTCTGATACCCTGTGAAAAGTTAAAGTTTGTGAACATACGGATCGTTTGATATATCACCACACATACAATGTACATGATAGGTAGTAAAACAACCCTGTCAGGGCATAAAGAATTGAGCAATAACAAAAGTTGTTTTATCAATCTGTGCGTCATGAAAGGCCTTGAAGGNAAATAAAGAACTATTTTACAGAAAAATGTTTCAACATGAATTTTAATGTTAATTTTTGTCTTCCATTCTAACTTTCAACTTTGCTTTTATCTTTTTTTTACAAATTAAAATGGAAAATTAAATATCCAACTTATATTAAATGTATTGAACTTGGCTGTTAGATTTTTGTTGCTAATATATCTTCAAGCTTTTCGTACATGAAATAATAACAATAACAAATTTAGCATATTTCTTTAGCGGATTTCCTAAATAAAATACGAAATTATTTGAAGCAAAAATTGTCAACTCTTCTGATCGGCCATAAACATTCCCTGGAGCCATGTGAGTTAAATATTATTGCGAGAAAGGAATACAATTTAGACGTTGAACTATTTCGTAGAAGTTAATTTATTATAAGTTTTCAGAAAAATTATCCTAATTTAAATTATAATTTGTTTGAGTTTACTTTTAATTCTAATAATAATGTTCACTGGTGAGAACTGAGAACTAAGGACAAAATAAAAAGTGTTAGGTCATTTCCCCAGCGCAACTTCCCCAACACAAATTCCCCAGTCACAACTTCCCCAACAGCAACTTCCCCAGCCGCTAATTTCCCCAACACTAACTTCCCCAGTCACTAATTGCCCCAACACCAATTTCCCCATGCAGTAAAATTCTTAATTTCCCCAACAGCAACTTCACTTCAAAACGGCTGTTACTACACATTTTGAATGTTTCCTTTTCTCCACACAGTTTCAGAATGATTTAGATTTGTCCCTTGACATTGATGGTAGGTTATCATACTAATTGGGATACGCATTTGTTCATTGGAGTAATGTTAAAAACGGAAATATTTGATATTTTACTGCATGGGGAAATTGGTGTTGGGGAAGTTGCTGTTTTACTGCATGGGGAAATTGTTGTTGGGGAAGTTGCTGTTGGGGAAATTAGTGACTGGGGAAGTTGCGCTGGGGATCTAACCTAACACCAAATTAAAGTATAAAACAATTGATTAAAAATTTAATTATATAATATGCAAATCTTAGATCGGCGTATTAATATAAATATAGATATTAAAATAAAGCCTCCCCCCCCCTATCTTCTCGTGTATGCTGTATGTTCATTAACCTAATTCAATTTTATTATTACTAGGACTCTTATAATTATGTTCTATTCAGATTAAACATATTTATTATACTCATTTTTTTTCTCCACTTTAAAAAGTGTTCACTGATAAATGCCATTTTTATATTTGTAAGAGAAACCTGAGTTGAGAAATTTTGAATAGAGATCGATAGCTAATTTAAATATGTACACGTGGTTTAAATGCTGGTTCAAGTTGAGATAGGCAACCACATTTCTCTTTAAAAATTTTGAACTAAAAACACCTAATTCTTATAAAGAAATTGATGAATCTTAGCAAAATACTCAAATTTCCTAATTCCTACATATATTTGCAATCTGAAGGATTTTATATTTCAACAGAATTAACAGTTTGAAAATATCAAAGATCTACGACATCAGGTTGCAAAGATATTGGGATTAGAAAATAAGAGTTTGTGACAAAAACTAAATTACTTTAAATCCATCAAAGAACAAAAAATAATCCATACATATTCAGAATAAATGGCTTGTTTTTCAAAAAAAAATATTGTTTTAGAAACAAAAAATCTCAATATCTGAAGAAACAAGAATAAATTCATGGATTTTATGGATTGTCAAATTTTATGATTTAACAATCTTCAAATAGAAAAAGCTTTACAGTTTCTCGTAAATCTTCAGCAGTTTATGAAATATTCTAATATAACAAAATGTCTAAAACAAAGGGCACAGAGCCTAAAACAAAGGCTTTAAATTGTTCAAAGTCACAAAATGTCCAAAGCTATAAAATATTTAAATAAATCTTTAAAAAATAAACCAAATCCGTGTTATTCCTACTTGACCTTGATATTTCTGAGGGCCTCTTTTTTCTATTCTTGCATTATTTCATTATTGAATTGCTAACGTTCAAATCATTCAGTAATGAAGCATCGATAGTAAATACTGTTTTGACTTGGATTGTAAAGCGCTTTCAGGATTACATTAAAAGCATAACAAAAATTAAAGATATGGAATTTTTTCGTGAATTTTCAAAACTAAGAAAATATTTTACTAAATTTATCAGAGGGGCCATTTTACATCCAACGCTCGATCGCCCATAGTACCCCCCTGAACCGGATTAACCGATTTTCTTTATTTAGGAAGTTCTGACCTTACAGCTGTACATTAAATATTGTATTTTAAGAATCATTAAGATTTTTTTCTTTTAAATCTTTCTGATCCAAAAATTTAGTTTGAATGTGAGTTTAACCTAATTTATATTTATATTTAGAGATAATCTGGTCTCTAACTCTACCCTACTTCTACGGAGGCTTCCTTACTTGTAAGGTAACAATCTAGGATTTTTATATTTATCCAAACCAAACCAGCCCCCCTCCTCCTCTTCTTCTAGATCAATTCCTGCAATCGCCCTTGGCAACAGTCCCAATCTTATGTTGAAATCATTTCGATTATGTTAATCTTTATCTTATCTTACCTAATCCACCTTCAGATATAGAATTATATATTCTCCCTGACTGATGTACTGAAATGTACTTTCCTCATAGAAATCAATCAACATTTGTGAGAAAATGTCGCAATTATTTCCGCCATTTAATTCCACCATTTTGGTTTACGAGTTTTGTTTACAGCTGATGAAATCACTGCAGATGTTGGGACCCTATCTCAGCTCGTATATCCTCTGTGCAACAGCTATGGATAGAAGACAGGTTCGATATTCAGTTTAAAGATACTGCAGGCCCGTAATTTCAAGTGACCCTCCATGCAAAGATGGCAATTTCCGACTTAATCAGCACCATTAATGGACAAAGGAATTGAGTCTTTGCCACAAACTCAAATTTTCTAATCCTTATATCTATGGAACCTCATCTTGTAGACTTTTGATATTTCAAACTAAGATAATTTGATGCAACAGAATTCATAGTTTGAAATATCTTAGGTCTACGACATTGGGTTGCAGAGATATAGGAATTAGAAAATCAGAGTTTGTGACAAAGACTCAATTCCTTTGTCTGATCAAGTATGTATAGATATCAGTGTTTAGAATTCCAAAACTGATTATTTTCAATTGTGGTTTCTCTTCAAAAGTGACTTTCGCATTTCTAAGCATTCCTTTTCGTGCATGTATTAATTCAAATAAAAAAATTACAAACGCTTAAATAGAATTCTTTTGAAAGCTAGGTGAAACATTGTTTTATATTAATATAGTTGCTTCACTTTATATTCCATTTAAGTAATTATTTTAGTTTACTTTTTAACTATACAGGTTGTCGCAATTAGACATTACCGTGTTTTTTTTAGTTTGTAGGCATTTAAGGTGTGTTGACTTTTAAAAGACTCCACAATAATCTGACGTGTTTAGCTTATTTCAATATTGCACTTTCTAAAAGCTTGCTTAATAGCAATAATGTGCAGAAAAAAAATTCTCACCAAAGTGTTAAAAAAAGCGATTTAACCAAACTGTTAATAGCCTTTTCAATTAGCTTTCATTTTTATATGTTTATTTGGACACGCTAAATAGTATCTGTATCACGATTTAAAGCATATTGGTATCTTCTATATTCTTATACATTTACTTCAATATTGAATAATATTAGTCTGCACTCTGTGCAGTGTCCATTCAATCTAATAATATGAGAATGTCTAGTCGTCTCTGACATTTCATTTTTTAAAAACAGTCCTATTATTCCAAAATGGTCTGTCGTAATTTCAATAAGGCAAATTATTTTATCATGGTGTTATGATTTACAACGCAGAAAAAGTAATAAAACTTCTGAAGCTAAAAAACGACGATATATTCCACATGTTGAGATTGTTCAGATTTAAATTCAGATTAAGTTTACAGAATGTTTACCCATGGACATCGTGCTCACTTCTTTTAATATAGAGACTAACTTGACACTGCAAGGAAAAGTCCCTTTAAAAAAAACTATATTTTTGTTAAAATTTTCTTTTTTAGGTTATCTGCACTCCCTTCGTAAACCTCTCCTGGTCCCCAAGCAGGTCTAAGGTGGGTTTCATGTTTTAGGATTTAAATTTAACTAGTGTTTAAAAATTTAAAAATAAAAAATGGATGCTGGACTGGACTGGACTGGACTGTAAATTCAGAACTTTCCGATTTAAATAGATTTATGTGTTATTATATAATGGAGAGTCCAAATTATAGTTATGTAAATTCAGAACTTTACTTAAACATGATTTCCGATTTAAATAGATCCATCTCGTGTTATTATATAATGGGCAGTCCAATGTATACTCTTGACTTTTGATATTTCAAACTATGTATTCTGATAGATAAAATAGTGTGAAATATCAAAGGTTTACACCACCGGGTTACAATGATATAGGAATAAGAAAATTTAGCTTAAGTGGGAAAAAATCAGTTTAAAAAAAGAGGAGCGGTAGAAATTTTTGTGTGCGATAGCGCTAATCTACAACATCTGCTTATTGGCTTAGTTATGTTCTTGATTCTTAAATTGGAGTTTTTAAAAACGTTTTTAAAAAGGTAAACAAGTGTTTTCAGGAATGGATGTTTTGTTATATAATTATTTCTATTATTAGAACAATAAAATCGATTGTTTTATCGTTTATACAAGAAATTTTGAACACCGGAAGTGATTCAGGACATTTTCCAGATTCTAGAACTAAAACTAAAATAAAATGAATGATTGACGAAAATCAGTTGAATTAACTTTTTCCAGTGTAAAGTTTAGTTCGTTTAACTCCCAATGCCTAATTCAACTATATCTCTCATTTCATGAACTCACACATTTGATGTATCAGGGGATCAGATTTTTTTTTCTATCTAGGGGGGCCCCAAAAACCCCCTGGAAATAATAGATTTCACTGATCCAGGGGGAACTGAGCCTCCATAGCCCCCCCCCCTGAATACGTCTCTGGGCAGTTTCTTTCATGGTAAGCTAATATAAAAGTATTTTCAAAAATCTAATTTTTAACAATGTTCACAGTTTGGAGGTTCTCTTTCATCATATCTCTTTATGCAGCTCACGAACCGTTTTTTGTTCTGATGGTTACAATATATTAGAACAAACTGTATAAACATAGTAAATTCCCTATTTCAAAAGAACAACTAAGGGTTAAAACTTTTGTGTTGATCCTGGGATTAATAGAGTTATAAACAATAGAGTAAAGATGTAATTAAGTACATGTGAAATAAGGTATATGTAGATTTTAAAAACATTTCTCACACTAGAGGGGCTATAAGTACATAAATACATGTATTGTAAGTGTAGCTGAAACCCTTTAAAAGAAAGCTAGCTGAATCCTGTTTTCTCTCAGCTTTCTACAGACTCAGTGACATCCACAGACTGCTCACACTCTCACAGGGGATAGCCTATCATAGGTCAAGTAATGTAGATTAGCGCTAATTCACATACAAGTTTTGATCTCTAATACTATTGGGAAAGAGAGAAAGACAGATTTCGTATTATATATCTTTACTGAGTTAAAAACTTTTATTTGAGATTGTGCTAATTAACAAATTGATCTAAAAATCCGCTGTGGTAACATTTAAATTTGAGGGATAAATGCTTGATCCTTAAATTTAAATTATCCATGCTGTGTTACGAGAACGGGATGTTTAAGAGCAACTGATTTGATTCTGCGGATGCCAAGATATACGGATACTATGAGATAGCTACTAGATTCAGGGATTTGATTCTGCGGATGCCAAGATATACGGATAACTATGAGATAACTACTAGATTCATGGATTTGATTCTGCGGACGCCAAGATATACGGATATCTATTAGATAACTACTAGATTCAGGATTTGATTCTGCGGACGCCAAGATATACGGATAACTATGAGATAACTACTAGATTCAGGGATTTGATTCTGCGGACGCCAAGATATACGGATACTATGAGATAACTACTAGATTCAGGGATTTTATTCTGAGGACGCCAAGATCTACAGATATTAATAACATAGAAGTTCTGACCTCTGGTATGACCAAGGTTATTATGCAACGAAAGTTCCAGTTGCGTATACTCTGCGTAAATATTGAAACCAGTTCTCTCTGGGCGGAATTTGTAAACAAAAATAGATGCATCAGTGTCGTTTTGTATCCAAGGAGGTTAAAAGCATTAAATTTTGATAATTTTGATAATTCACATAATAGGTTCCTGTGACCAGAATATTTCATTGATCTTTTATGTGAAAGATGGATTCCATGTTAGGCTTTGACATCATTACCGCCCACAGTCAGTACACTGCATTACAAAAGATGCGTACACCTCTGACATAACTTTCCTTGCATTATAACCTTGACCAATCAGTCTTGCGTTTAAATTACCGCCCAGAGACAGTACACTGCAGTACAAAAGATGTGTACACCTCTGACATAACTTTCCTTGCAACCTTGGGTGTGACTAGCATGTGGCATTCAAAAGAATTTCAGCGTTAAAATTTTTAAAAATTCTACATCATTAAAAGATATGTTAAATAATCTAATCGCCGGATATAATCTAAGGAAAGCAGAAGAAAAAACTGTGTTTCTATTATTCTGATTAAATATAAAATAGAAAGAATAGATACTGTAAGAAAATAACAAAAATACTATTCCCAATATACACTATTGGGTTGTAAAGTAAAGGGCAAGCTTAAAGGAACTATCGACGTTATTAATGTGATCAGTGCATCTATCGATTCACAGTACGGTATCCTTTAATTTCTGAACATTTATTTGATTACCGATTGTTAAAAACTTTTTTCTTGTGGCCATTTTCTTTCTGGCATTGTGGTGTAGAAATCCGTCAGGCGTGAGCTAAATTTTAAGCTGCGGGACAAAGAGTTTTCGTTGTAAATCGACGAAGGATATCTTTTAAAAAAATTAGTAGAAATTAATTTTTGATTTTCTGTTTTTCTGCAAGAGGATTTATAAACAAAACTTAAATTTTCTTTATATTTTTCACAGAAACTGCGGTAGAATATTTCATAAACAAAGATATTTACAATAAGGTCTCACAGGGTTACCAACAAACGATGAGACATTCATGATGACTTGGAACTTTTAAAATCTAAATGAACTTAAAGAAATTGAGTCCTTGCTACAAACTCAGATTTTCTAATCACTATATTTTTGCAACCTTGTGGTATAATCATTTTATATTTCACACTAGATTATTTTATCTAACAGAATTTATATTCTGAATTATTTAAGGTCTACTACATTGAGTTGCAAAGATATATGCAGATAAGAAAATCAGAGTTTGTGGCAAAGACGCAATTCCTTTTAACCATTAAAAAAATGTAATATGAAATAATTTGGCAAATAAAGAATTGAGTTTACAGCTGGAGGGAACTAAAATATAACATATATATATATAAAAATATAATAAAATATAAGATCTTTATGTCATTCTTTGTGGGTAACCCTGTAAACAAGATTAGGAATGTCTCTTTAAATTATCAACTAAAGTGTATCATGCAAACAGTTTGGAAATAAACCTTAATTAAATAGATTGTTTGATCCATGAAGAACTGGCTTTACCAGGAGTAGAACATTAACATGACTTGATTAACATTTACACATGGTTTACGAGGAGTAGAACATTAACATGACTTGATTAACATTTTTACACATGGTTTACCAGGAGTAGAACATTAACATGACTTGATTAACATTTACACATGGTTTACCAGGAGTAGAACATTAACATGACTTGATAAACATGTACACATTGTTTCAAAGAAACATGTTTATTTAAATATTTTTATTTGAATTGAGGGGATCAGGTTCCCGACTTATGGAGGACGAATTCGAATTCGATTAAAAAACTATATTATTATATCTATTACTAGTTAAAATTATATAAATATTTTTGGAGAACATATTTATCAATTCTTCTGTTCGAGAGAACAGAACCTTCATTAAATGTATTATATTGATATATATACTTTTTGAACAACGTAAAATAAGATGAATAGAAGTGGATTTATTTTTTGGTTGAATTAACAGAAAAATGTCATGCGTCACCATTAAAGGGACTGTAAGCGCAATTTCTAGTGGGCAAGGGTTCCCTTTAAACCTTTAACAGTTCAAGGATAACGACCTTTTCCTTATTTCAGTTCAGAAACGCTTTTAATTGTTGAACACTTTGTTTGCAACCTGTTTTACATTCAAGGAATATTAATATAATCTTTCTAGAAGTGAAAGCATATAAATATTCACATTCAACTTTTTGTAAACCGCGTAGTAAAATTTCAGGATACGCAGCCGCGTTGAGTTCACACAGTACAATATAGTGTACAATGTACAAATGTGTAGATCTTTGTTAAAGCTACAGTCTAAATATACACAGACCGCTCATAATCTTTCAGGCTAGGCCAAGTAGGCATATAGTACCGACACGACATGCCAAATAAACATTACACGAAATGTTTTTGACTGCCATTAACGGCCTTCTTGTTGCATATAATACCCATTCAGAGGTTAAATTTTACAATTTTTAAAGAAATACTTTAAGTTTCAACATATACCATAGTCTATTTTAAAAGATTTTATTTCGTATCCAAAGGATCCTGAAATATCCCTAAAAACAGACCTTTGTTTATTGGTCGTGTACTCCAATTGTACATATGGATTCTGCTGTGGAAAATATCGCATATTCTAGCTGATTCTACCCTCTAATATATCTATGTAAACGCTTACCATCATCAGTTTTAAGAGTGTCTTGTTTATTTAATAGAATTAATTCAAGCAGATCCAACAAATATCTCTCTTATATTTACTCCTGATATTATTATGCCAAGATCCCCTGTACTAAAGGGAAAACCTTAGCACGTTCTTTACCACCAGTGAAGCTGAGATCTTTTTAAAATAGCTTAATTTTACGCCTTTGGGACCAGATTTAAACAAAAGGAGGACTAAACTGAACCAGAGAAAGAGAGAACTGGTTGAACCGGCGGTACGTGGCTTAACTACTTCATGCTATTGAAGGGACAGACAGGCTATGCAAGGTAGTTAAACTGAGTATGCAGTGTT